TTTAGTTTGTGTATTTTGTGATATTTGGCGACCAATTAGCGACTGAATTGACAGCAGTAAATGTAAAGCAATTACTACCCAAGAGAAAGGTGCAATTACATGCTGATTAGAAAATGGAGAATCAAACTCATCATCAAAGGGTTTAAAAATTAGCCATTGACAACATCAATGATTTTTAAAAACAAAAATCAGAAATTCTAATGTTTTGTTGCAAAAATATGTAATGTACCTATCTACTTACAAATATGTGCAATTGTATTAAGTTTTAATATGCTGTGTTTTTTCTCCATTAAACTAAAATGTTGTATACACCTAAATTTACATGTATACACATGTTGTATACACAAAAATGTAGTGTATGACGTCCGCTTAGAATAACAGCGATTAACCTTAAGTACTTGATGCAGTGAATAATAAAACAAATAGATATTTTATTCGATTTATTTTTAACACAATAGTACAATATCAATAAATATAGTCACATCAGCTTTCTATCACCTCTCTTTACACTATGATCCACTTTATACAATGTTGTCATACAACAAATTTACCCTTACATTCGTGATAACAAAATTGTGCAAATTCAAATAGGTCCATCGTGTTTATTTAGAATTTCAAAGCAAAAGTGAATACAAATCTTTTTAAAGTGATACGCTTGAAATCTCAAACAGGATCATTATTTTATTGTAGTAAGTTACAAGATATGTATCGATTGTTTGTTCTGATATAAATGTAAGTAGTCGTAATGAACATGAGTGAGCCTTAACAAAAAATTTCATTACCAGCTAATTGCGTAGATTGTTGGATTTACTTAGACGTCAGACGCACCATCATTACTGCGACTACTTCGCATTAACAAATAATACATTCTGTGTAACAAATTAGCAAATGTGGAAAACATGTGTCATTAATCGCAAGTTTGAGAAAAAGTAAGTTATCCACCTTGTATGTACTCTCGTCTTAATTGAAACGTTAATGGCACATGGTATTTTAAAACTAAGTTGGCAAACAAGCACGTGTCTCATCTGATAATAAATAAGCGTTCCCCGACGTATCATTGTCTTTCACGCGTTGCTAACTCTAGATAGACATCATATACTTGCAGAAGAAGCAGTGCATTAGAGCTGTTTAACAGCGAATTATGACTGAAATAAAATATATTTTTGCTTTAAAATTCTATTGAACTAATTCACAATAACTTACAAGTAAGCGTATACACAGCTTTTTAATTCTAAAACAAAAATGATTTAACTTCACACGAGATGTGTTTAAAGTAACTTCGTTTAATGCAAGGACTGTAGCCTTCTTCACGCAAACCTAATTTATAACAAAAGTTTGGCAAAACAAAGCGGTTTTCATAACTACATAATCTCAGTATTAAAATTTAAGTCTTTTACACTACACAACGTACGATACGTACACAACGAACATTGCCTTTCAGAAGTAATTGCAAACACCCAAGCGAGACCTTTCTTAAGTGTAAGTCTCACTTTTATATTTCTCTTTGTGTGTCAATGGTAGATTTATAAGAAAACAACTTCTTACATGCAAAAATATGATCATAGTAAAAGGGGTTTCACCACCAGTAGTGATACGATACATAATTGGTTACAATTACATCTTAATCGGTTGCCGTAATAACGAGGATCGCTAATTTTTCATTTCCCCACCTATTTATGTGCAAAACTCTTCTTTGGTTACTGGAATATCGTAGAGTATATAACAGAGAAGTAATGCACTTTTAGTTTAGAGTGAAACGATATTTTGAAGTCAATATTAGACCAGATAACAATAGCGGTGTTCAATAAAACAACTAAGTATGTCTTTGTGTAAGCAACTTTTAAAAGGAAAAACAATGTTGTGTACTTTTGTCTTTTATGCAAATTGTAATCAATTAGTCGATATAACATTAACTATATCTATTTGCACTTTGTTTAAATATATTTCTTGCAAAAATCCTACCTACTGTTATTATATTCATATCCTTTTATATATACCGATTTAAAATATTTAAACAAATCAAAAAAATATAGCAGCTGATCTGTTATTATTATAACTATGAAGGCATAATATATATATATATGTTTTAAATACTTAAAAGCTATGCAGATATGGAGAAATGAGCTTAGCTTTCCATTGATGTCCGTAGAGTTGGGGGGTTGACAGTTTTTTTACAGAAAGGTTACATTATAAGCACACACGAAAAGTTTCAACATGACAAAAATTATTGAAAATCAATTATTTTTGCAATATTTATGTCAATCCCTGCACAGATTATAGAGAATCCTCGCTATTTAACTTTTCTTTTTACCTATGGTTAAGTTGTCATACATTCGGTAACATTTTATTTTGTATAAATGTAAGTAAATAATTATATTTTGTATTAATTTCAATAGATTTCATGCACACATCATATATATATTACAGCATTACTTTTATTACGAGCTATTAACATTAAAATGTGTAATGTTTACCGTCTTTTGCCGGCTTGTGGAACAAAAGGTTAAACGGACGCCTTTTATAAATTATTAATTTGTTTTATTTTAACAGTACCTATTAGGGCAGATAACAAATAAAATAGGTAAGGTTATAAGTTGAAATAAGTTAAAACTTATGTCAAGGAACCGAATTGATTAACCCCGACTCCACCTGGTACGAGTCTGTCCTACCCCTAGAGTGTTTTTATGTTTTAGTGAGAGCCGGAGGCGCGTACGCGTACGTGGATGCCTGCGATCTGTTACGCGAGGGCGTAGAGGCTGCTCTTCTTCTCCCCGCAGCGCCGGAGACGTTGCAGTCTCAAAATAGAAAGAAATAACTGAATCAGTCTCCCTATTTTTTTCTGATGAAAGGGGTTTCCCCTTCCGTAGGGGCAAAACCCCCTTCCCCTTCAAGGGGTCCCCCCATGTTTTTTACACTTATTAATTTTAATCCAAAAAATAAAAATCTCAGAATTAAAAAATCTCGAAAAGGGGGGCCTCCGCAACTATCCTTTTAGGGGGGGGGGACGCGTACTACCCCCACCCCACACTCACCCTTCAATTCGACAGACGTCAATGGAAAGTCGTACCGACAAATGTGATTAGCTTTAATTAAAGCAATATCAATAATTATTTATTGCTGAAACAAAAATGTGTTTTACCCGTTTTATTAAATTTAAATGTTTTATAATATATATAAGGCCATATTATAAAAAAAAACATTGCTTTGATTTCCGTTACACTTAAAACTAAAGGCATTGTATCCCGTGTTACAGTTATCGAGTGTTTACATTTAACGTGATAATAATAACTTTGTGAAAGAAATACCACCCCACTTTACACGGCAAGGGGCAGTGTAAAAATACTCAAAATCAAAAATTAAAGTCATCTCAATAAATAAGAAGTAAACAGTTATTTTTAAAATCGCTATAAAATATAACTGAAACGTGTAACACACGACGCCGAAAAAATCTATGATTAGATTATAAATTATTTTATGTCGTATTTAGGTTTCGACTTTATCTTTGCTTAACTAGAATGCAATGTATGAATGCCTCACAGTCACGCTTTTGCCGTATTGCTGTTGCCGTGTGCGTGTTTTATGATTTTCTAACATAGCTAAATTTACATACGAGCACATAGACTAGCTAATAGTTACCGCAGCTTTTATTATCAGTGGTGGTGCCTCCACTGTTCCTAGAAGTCCTGAATTACTATGTCGACATTCATACATTTGTTAAAAGTTACTAAGATGCACATAGTGGCAATCACTATGATCGTATCAAGCTTTTAACCGAGGGTAAGGCATAATTTATTTTTGACAGTCTTTTGGGCCTCATCAAAAATTTAAACTTAACTATTACAAAAGTCGGGGAGTCCGTGTCCCGCCTCCGGTTACCCCAATGGCAGTTGCATTATATGCATCATAATGTACTAATATATCTTTTTATTTGTTATATTAACATAAATTGTATAACTGGGATTGCTTTTAGAATAAACTGAGAAAAACAAATATAACTTTGCACCTGCATTTAGGTGAAGATTCTCATTATTTTAAGCGAATGACACTTAAAAATTGTTTTACTACATTTCAAACTTTATCTAACAACTCAACACTTTAACCAGTAGCCAACTACAACACGACCGGTATTTAATATCCATGGGTATTATTCGCGAGTCTGCGTTCAGTTTCTAACTAATTCCGTTTTTATGACGGTACTGCCAAGTAAAGTAATTTAGAAAAGTATAAACCTCACTCAATTTCTTTCTAATCAGTTCACTTTAAAACAACCTTTTATATTTAAAATATGTGCAGTTAAACTTTGCAATTAAATTTACGACCAAATTAATAATTGGTCACATGAAAAGGTAAAAATTGCACGATTTCTATCATTATATTGTCAAAAATATATGCGTCGTGAATTAACAGAATTAATTATATATAGAACATAGACGTTTATATATAAATAATGAATTGTTATATGTATTGTAATGTTAGATAGCTTGAACCGAGTCACAGATGGTTCGAGTTACGAGGTATGCGGCGCTGATGGACTGGAGCTATCGCTTACACTCCTAAATCCAATCGGTTTAACAACATGTCGTGTGTGTAGTTCCAATTTAGGAATAAGTACCTACTTGAAAATGTTGATTATTAGCTATCACAACTTTTGCTTTCAAATTTTGATTCCAAATTCAAACACGAAGAGCTATCTAGTCCTAAAATAATCCCAGTACTGTTCTACAGTACGGTTCGAGAGCACATATAAACAATTATTTACCTACATAAATTTTATCTCGTAAATACATATAAACATTGAATATATACTGAGCGCGTAGACCTTGCGCGTTAGTGATGATGCGTGTTCGGACATGAAACACGCGGCCCCGATGCGGTCAAAAGCCGCACCGGAGCGCCAGAGAGGTAGTCGAATATCTGCAATCTATACATAATCATGTGAGGAATTATCAATTGAGCCACGTACATCGTAAGTAAGACGGGGGGCGGGGGGGCGGCGCCTACTACGGCTGCGGCTTGCCGCTGGACCAGCGCGGCAGCGAGATGCCGAACTTGGTCTCGAGGCCGGTGAGCACGGGCAGCGCCACCTGGTAGCCGCCGATGTGCTGCGGCTTGGCGGGCGCGTCCTCCACGTTCGTGGCCACGTGCAGCTCCGACCCGCTCGGCCGCCTGCCGATCGTCCATGCATTATTATTTTCATCTTAAACACCTTTAACGCCATTTTGTCCATAACATCGTTAGAACAAAATAATAATGTAATCAAAAGATATTTGTCGCTTGGTTGATGGTATAATTATTATGTACACACATATAAAAAACACATATTGTAGTGGTTACATCTTATTTTTAAATGACTATAACAACCGATGCTCCCTAGTGAGTTGCGACAATCGAAACATCTGTATTGTAATTCTAAGCGCCTATTTTTCAAATATACCCGCATCATACGACGCTTTGCCATTACGTCGCAGTCCATATACTTGTACTCCGTAGGTAGTCACTGCATGTATGGTATAGTTACTATCACCTACATATTTTGTACATATATTTTTTGGATTAAACTAAATCATTATACTCACGTTCCACCGAAGTCAACATAGAATAGGCGCTGTAATACTTCATAAGTTAGTAGCGTTACACCAAACTGTGGGGAAGATCGGCACACGCGTGCTGGAAATAAATTGATAACTCAATTTAGGTCAGAATGAGGAACAACTGCATTAAAAATATACCTATGCGTATAGGCAATTTTCACAGCGATCGTAGATTGGACCAGTTATAAAAATATAATATTTAGTGTATTGGGTGCAATAAAATTTTAGGTTAGAGTGCTCAGCCTATACAGCAATATTCAATTCTAGTTCCAAGTGTGTACTAATCTGCTTGCGCTATTGCTTACGTTGCCCGATCCATCCGTATAAGCAATGTCCCTTCCCTACCACTTTCAACCCTTCTTTCCTTTCAATATCACTACAATTCCCCATCGAACTAATCTCATATCACACAAATGTTTTGATCACTTAATGATCAAAACATTTATGTGGCAAAATTTGGGCGTTTAATATGCTTCTACTCTACCCCTTATAGGGGGGGGGGGGGGAGATATAGGCGTGAGCGTATGTATAAATTTTTATCTTACCCAAGGCTCCTTTCCAAAAGGCTCTAGCACCCTCCTCAGCGTATATCTTTCTAGTGGCGTCTATCACACCATTGTACGTTGTTTGGCCTGATCGTGCTACAACCTAGTAAAAGCATAATGAGTATCTTGAAAATTTAATACCAGTCCTAATAAAGGCAAATGGATCTGGATATTTTTTTTTTTTCGGAAGTCCTTTTTACCTTACAATCATAGAAAACATACTTAAGAACAGAATTAAACTGGCCATTGGATGTGTTAGTCTTAATTACTGTTTTAATCTTATTTTAATGCTCAAAGAATCATCTATACCGTACGGATAGCAGTGGTGGATTAAAGTGCTAAAAGTGTTCCATTCCCACAAGGAACACAAGATTTTGTGATCCACAAATAAGTTATGCCGGTTTTAGGTGTTCTTTGTAGCCGGTTAACCGTTTTTGTCACAGAAATCGTTTACTTTAGTGAGTAGTGGCTCTGGCCAATTTATTGTTATTACCTACTTTAAACCTCCTTTCTAAGGAGAGGCCTATGTCCAGCAGTGGACTATTATAGGCTGTTGATGATGACCTACTTTAATTTGCATAATAAAATTATCAATATGTTTTGATTTTCTTTTAATATTGAAAAAAAAGCTTGTTTGTAAATTCAATTGCTTTTAAAAGTAAAGTTAGGCTACTTACTACAGAAACCGTAGTTACTGTATATAGGAAGTGGGAGACATACCTGGAGCCTAGTCTTGATGACGTCAGCAGGTGTGACGAGCGAGGCAGCGGGTATGCCCGCGATGGCTCCCGCAGCCAGCAGCGTCAGCGGGTGGTTGTAACCGTTCTCGTCCGCGAATTTAGCCTGACAAGAAATTGGCAGTTCTGTTATCGATGATAACGTTTAAATATATACATATAATGGGCAAGACGTAAAAAGGAGTTAATCAATCAAGTCTAAATCCTACCTTTGAACAAAAATACTTCGGACAAGTGCTAGTCGGATTTGCCCATCGAGGATTTCGTACAGATTTGTAGGTACATATTATATGTATGTATATTAGGGCGTTTCAAATAAAAAAAAAATCTTTTTTTTCTCGGAACCACGCTCAAAGGTATCGTTTAGATGCCAAAATAGACCTCTGAAAATATGAGCCCTTAATATTAATATTGAGGTTGTCCACATTGCACGATTTCCCATAAGAATAACACAGGAAAAAAAATATCTTCTGATTTTGATTACTAGTGAACGGTAAATAGCACTATAATGTCCATCGAATATTTTTGTAGAAAATTGAACGTTCTGCAAAACAGGTCTGATGTAATTTTTCGATAAATCAACTCAGTCAAAATCGAATTTTTTGGCACATGTCTGATTCGTGTAACGGTTAGGCCCAAAAACGGCTATCTCCTTTGAGATTACTTGTTTTCGAAAATTTGCATCAATCGTTCCATTGAAATCAATTTCGTTTTCGTTGAGATCAAATTCAGCTCCTTTAAAAGCCTTTAAACTTATACACTTAGGAGTATTCTAATAGCTTAATTGAGAATGAATTCAACTTTGACCTCGAATAACTTTTGAACGAGTTGATTCATCGAAAAATGACCTTGGTCCTTTTTTGTAGAGCGTTCAATTCTCTACAAAAATATTTGACGAACAATTCAGTGCAATTTAACGTTCATTAGTTATAAAAATCAGAAGTTTTTTTTCTTGTGTTGTTCTTATGGGTAATCTAAAAGTGCGATGCGGAAAGCCTTAATATTTATATTAGGGGCTCATATTTTGAGAGGCTCATTTTAGCATCTAAACGAAACTTTTGAGAGTGGTTTCGAGAAAAAAAAATTTTTTTTTTTGAAACGCCCTAATATATAAGAATAGTTTAGTTTAGTTAACTATATATGTACTATATCTACTAACTACTAACATTATTTTCTTCTATTAGTGAAATAGTACATCGATGATTGATTACGACTATATGTATAGTTTTTATTTTATTTATGATTTTTATTTTAAGAAACAGTACTGGTTACATTTAAATAAATGCAAAAATGATTCTTGTTTGTGTACAAATGTGTACAAACGCATGGCATTGAAAACAATAAATTAGTGTTACTACATTTTTGTAATGATAAAAATAATATTAAAAAAACTACACTTACAAATTATCGCGAACATTTATCATGAAGCCAAGCAGGATATCGAATAGAAACTGTTTTTACAATAATTAAAAATTTCGCATTCCTTTACATACTTTACACTCGACACCAAAAAAAAAACCAGATAGGAATCTGAATGTCATGACAATGATGGTCCAGACGTAAACATTAACTATTTGGAGTGGTCAGCACAGTCTAGACCTCAACCCGATCGAGCATGTTTGGGACGAGTTCGGGCCATGCGTGACACAACGAAACCCTCACCTGATCACGGCAAAGTACTAAAGCTTGAGAAAATTATAAAGTTATACAAAATATTGTTGTTTATATTTTTATTGGTTATAATTTTTTCAATTTAAAGGTAGGTACCTATTTAATGCTCTACTTCACACATATTTTTTTTTACCACGTGAACTGAATTCAAACCGAGTTTTGCTCAAACCATAATTTATATCCTTTAAATTTACTTGATAGTCGTTATATTCGTAGACAGCGACATATAACGAAATATATAACTATGGGATTACTATTGTATGTACACGTTCACTTGGGTAGCACTTAAAGGTAATACAAACAATGCCATTATAAAATTATGTACTCTGATAATGGTCATGATTTTAAGAGAAAAAGAACTACCAATGACATTCTCACGAGTAGGATGGTCGTGTCTAGCTTGACTATACATACCTTAACATGAGCATAGGCCGGGAAGTAAATAGCACTAAAGGGTACATCCCTTAGCAAGCATGCCTTAGCACCCTTGTACAACCCGAACAGTCCCAAATCTTTCACTACGGACCAAGCACGCACTTTTTGTCCACCAGCAATTTCTCCTGCCACTTGTAGACGGATTTTGACTATTTCTAATGGATTCGTAAATATTACTTGACAGCCACCAGCCTGGAAAAGAAAATAGGTTTGTCTTGTTGCTCTATCATATATTTGGGAGTTCATTTTATACCTCTCATATAAAACCTAAATAAGTTGATACAGGTGACAAGTACACATGGGACAAATTCACAGTGAACTGTGATTTATCATTAGATTTTTGCGTACGTAGGTTAGGGTTGCTAGGTACCTACCTAGGTTAGATGCTATTTAATAGTATTATACAGTTTTTTTTTTATTCTTATGTATTGAATGATAGCTATATATGATAAAATAATTACTAGATTTACTATTAAATAGGCGAAATAGGGTTTTTATGCATAGTTTGAAACAGTAACCCTAACCTACGTACGAAAAAATCGAATGATAAATCACTGGTCTTTCACAGTTCACTGTGATTTTGTCCCATGCCTAGTGACAACTACCTTAAGCTCAAGTTTTATAGAAAGTCTCCGCTTCATGTAATAGCATAAACCAATCAATCATGATGTCTCATTGGTCATTTTATTGTGCATCTTAGCATAACTTGCTTGCTTCCTAAGTTTTTCGTTTAAAAATTCCTTAAACAATGTACTTACACAACCACCAGCCAATATTTCTCCATATATCGATATATTTCCTTTCTTGTCTGTGAATTTGTCCCGGACGAGGTCGTTTACCTAGTAACAAGAAACTCTTGTTAGACACAAGAATCAAAACCATTAAAGCAACAGAAAAACAGAAACTGTCTTAGTTTCTGTTTTTCAGTTAAAACAGTAGGCATTAGGTTTTACTTTAAAAAAAAGGTGAGAATCAAACATAAATAGCAATACAAAAGATGTAAAAGACGATAATTATCCGATTGCGACGAAACCAAAAAAGAGGCTTGTGTTTTGGTCTAAATGTAAGATGACTGATCTTCGCGTGAAGACCATAACAATAGCTTATGAGTTTTTTAATGCAGTCTTGCTATTATGTCATCTTATAAACTAATAGTCGTTTTATTCACAGACAGCTACAATTATCAGGTGCACATGTAAGCAGATCACGCGTGCCTTACACGACTTTTACATAAATACTTGATATAACTCTGCCTACTTTCACTAACAGCTGGTATAGTCTGATTTTTGTTACGAACTAAGTAAGTTTTGTCTGTGATGCCAATTAAAGTTTAAAATAATTGTGTTGCTCATCGTGCGGAACTGGATTTATAAATCTTGTAACTTATCTATAAGTTTTTAGTAAATATGTGAAAGTGTGCACTATTATAAAGTCATTGCATTTTAAACCGAATTTAACTAAATCATCATCATCATCAGCTTATCTCAGTCCACTGCTGGACATAGGCCTCTCCCATTGCACGTCACTTTGGTTTAACTAAATGCTAACTACAAATGTATTGCATTGCAGAAGTTATCTCTATGACTTGGAGCCATTTTTTAATAATAGATAATAATAATTTATTAGGATACATTGTCCTTTAAAGATATAATTAATTACGTCATGGTTCAGAAGTGTGAAACAATATGAGTATGTTCTTATAAATGTGTTTTACGTCGTAACGTACATTCGTGGGACACATTACCTTTACCAACAAAATACATGTATGGCTATGTATATGTATGGTTTGTGGCTAACCACAAGAGTGGCCAGAACACACAGACAAATATAAATTTACTTACTCTCCAGATTTACAACAAAAAAGGAATAGGTGTGTTAATGCAAGAAAGGAATAGTTAATAGGGAATAGTGTCATCGGGGGTAAAGGTATATTTAGGGTGTAGTAAAACTATTTATATTCGTACAATATTTTATAAATTAAAGTTTATATAACCTGTTATTTTGAAATAGACAAAGCATAATAACATCTGCTGACCATCTGTGGATGTAAATAAAAGATAACAAAGCTTTCTGGTTCTTTAAATGAACTTTTAAATAATTTATCAATAGTTGATAGTCGAACTCTTTTTTTTTTCACAGGCGATTTTAATGTGTAAGTTTCCTTTCTTTCCTTAACAATTTAATGGCGTATTAAATTGTTAAGGAAAAAAGGAAACGTGACGAAGGAAAGGAAAGGAGGCGTGGCGACGGCGCACGCTTTTGATGTTTGTATGACTGCACTCTCCACAGTTACATTTAAGTCACACAGTTCAAAGTACTTATAAACATTATAACTTAGCTTTCTCCACTACGAATGATTTTAATTATTATATACATGTTTTAATTTAAATGTAACGCTCCAAGAACGTAGTTCGTAGTTCGTGATGAAAGTCTGTCAATTGTCAACGTGAACTTGACTTTTTAATTTTTGAAACCTGTTTGATCAGAGGGCGGAGCTTGATCAGTGGATAATGATGCGTCACTATCTTCTTAGTGCGAATAGACTATGGTAATAACTAAATATAAAAAAAATTGTCATTTTACTAACCGTCAACTTTATGGCCTTCTCGGGTGCAACACCAATTAATTGCGGCACCAGTCCTCTGTATAAACCGAAGAACCCTTCGTGTCGGATGACTTTCTTGAAACAATCCCATGAATTCCTATAAGCCACTTCACCGATGAATGAGCCGGTGCGCTGATTCTGCATGCGGGTCTTTACTAAATCGATGGGGTATACAGCCGAAGCACCCACGGCTACAAAAAAAGGAGTATTAGATTGGGGATGGTTTGAGAGTCCTATTAATTTTAATTTAATAAGTAAATATAAGGCTTTACTAAGTTTTAAACAGACACAAATAATATTGACTGCGTAACATGTTCTGAAAAAAGTTGAAAAAAATTAGGGTCAATTATATAAATTCATCAGTATAATAATAATTATGTTTTCGGCAATCTGACACACAACGCTATCTAGTTTCAAGCTAAGCAGAGCTTGTACTATGAAATACTAGATTGCCTGATAGAATACTTACTTACACATAGAAAACAACTAAACTCCCGAAAAGGGTCTACACAATTTTATTTTGGAGATCAAAAAGTTTACAACAAATTAACAAAGTTTCAATCTTCATTTCTATTCAACTGGATTAAAAAAAAGCAAGACAATAAAAATCTGTATCACATACCACCAGCAATGGAACCCAATGTGAATCTGTACGTGCTCTCCAATATTTGAATAAATATACTTCGCTCCTCTGGGCTCTGTAACAAATACAGCCAACATATTTATTGCGAGAAATGTTTTCTTTTTAATTAAGGTGAACTTTCAAAATATGGGTAACTTGGTATTTTGTGGTTTTAAAGAGAATATGCATATCTGTCAAATATTAAAACAATATCAATTAGATCTATTAGAAAAACTATTTCCTACAGAGTCCGCGACAAAAAGAATACGTAGGAGTTATAAATGAAATGCTATTACTGATTTTCGGCACCAATAATATTGAATATTCTATAGTTCAAAACTATTGTTGCGCCAAAGCATTGAGTGGTTCTTATGTTGTGTCTGGAGGGCAGCGCCATCTAGTATCAAGTGCTCCACTTGATAGAACATAAGAACCACTCAATGGCGCAACAATGCTATAATTAGGTAAAATATTCAATATTTTCATTTCAATATTTTTCCTTGTTTTACCCATGTTGTGAAAGTTAAACAATTGTTTTTTAGTTGCTAATGCTGTTTAGCTTATAATAGCTTTATGGCTATTTATGTAAGTGTCACTGTGTCGTTAAACTGGTTTAATTTATTTCGTGATTTTATATGAATACCAAAAACTTCCGAAATTAATGTGTATGAAGCAGTAATGACTAGTATAGTAGCACATGTAGCATGCTATATATAAAGATGTAAAGTCAGTTTACAAGACGTTGCTATAATATGGTAACCTAATATAACTAATACATCAAGATAATACACTAATAAATCAAGACATTGCCAACATTTCCTGGAGTGAACTATTGGTAAATAGAGATGCGGAGTCAATGGTGACTATTTTTTACGAACATATCTACGAAATTATCAAACGATATGTACCCAAGAGAGTAATTAAATCGTCTCAATTTCCAGTCTGGTTTTCACCCGCTCTTATCCATATTTACAAAAATAAAAATAATTACTGGATTAAATGGAAAAAATATGGAAATAAATCGGACTATGAAATTTTTTCTTTATTAAGGAAAAGATTTAAACGTGTATCGCATGAGTGTTACAGAGGGTATATAGCAACGGTAGAAAATAGTATACAGAAGAATATAAGATGTTTTTGGTCCTTCGTCAAAAATAGGAGAAATAAAATGGATATGCCTTGTAAAATGACGTATAAAAATGTCACAGTTTATAACCCAGACGAGGCGTGTTCTCTGTTCTCGTCATTTTTCGAATCAGTTTTTGAACCCTCATGTGTTACCGACAATCTTGATGTTGACGATATGCCAAGTTGTAACCCTGCATCCGATATCTTCTTTAATGATATCCAGCTGTCTAGTGATGCAGTACTCCGGGAGTTAAAAAATTTAGACATTACAAAGGGGCCCGGAGTGGATAACATACCACCAATTTTTTGGAAAGCTACTGCTCAAACTATTCATGTGCCCGTATGTTTTATATTTAATTCGTGTCTCAATGAGGGTGTTTTTCCGTCTATATTCAAAGCAGCCCGTATTGTACCAGTTTTCAAAGGTGGAGATAAGTCCAACATAGAGGACTATCGGCCCATATCTATCTTGACCACACTGTCGAAGTCTTTTGAAAGGCTAGTGTATAATAACGTTTATCCATCTATCCATAATATAATTATTGAGGAACAACACGGTTTTGTAAAAAGACGCACCTGTAATACAAATTTAATAATTTATACATCATATTTATTTGAAAGTATGGATGAAAATAAACAGACAGACAGCATTTACACTGATTTTCGAAAGGCATTTGACAGGGTGGATCATAAATTACTATTAGAGAAGCTGGCCTTTAATGGTATACGCGGCAACTTGTGGCGTTGGTTCAAATCTTACATCACCAATCGCACACAAAAAGTAGTCTTGAAAGGTCATGAATCTGATTATACTGCTGTTAGCTCTGGCGTTCCTCAAGGCTCAATTTTGGGTCCGCTTCTGTTTATTCTTTTTATAAATGACGTCACATCCTCATTTAAATTTGCCAATATTTTACTTTACGCTGATGACTTAAAGGTTTATCACAAAATTGAACAGCAGGATGATCATTATAAAATTCAGCAAGATCTTGACCGTTTTACAGCATACTGTATTAAGAATAAACTTGCATTGAGTGTCAATAAATGTAAATCTATCACTTTCACTAAAAAGAAAAATGTCAGTAAATTCAATTACACTTTAAATGGTATACAAATTGAAGAAGTGGAAGTAATACGAGACCTGGGAGTCCTCTTAGACAGTAAGCTACAACTTGATAACCATGTCGACACTATAGTTAGCAACGCTTTTAAAATGTATGGTTTCATTGTTCGCTCCAGTACATGTTTTACTCAGCCCTCGACTTATCTTTATTTATATAAATCTCTAGTTCGCTCACAACTTGAATATGCTGTGCCAGTCTGGAATCCATTTTATGAAAAGTATATAACTGCCATAGAATTAGTCCAAAAGAAATTTTTGCGCTGTATGCATTACAGGTGCTATCGCAAATCGTCTTCATATAAAGATCTACAAATAAAATATAACTGTATAACATTAGAACATAGACGCTTATATTTACAAGCAATGTTACTGTATGATCTATGCCACAACAATTATGATTGCGTTGCACTTACGAGCAAGCTTTGTTATGTCGTGCCCGCAAGGACTCATTGTCGTAACATCTGTAAAATTTTTGCAACTTCTCGATGTCGAACTAATGCAGGCAAGAGATCACCGATGCACAGGTTAGTTGATAGTTATAACAAGCATTTTCTTACTATTGATCTTATGGCAACGCGTCCTAGTACTTTTAAAAAACTCTTGCTGGAAAGTCTGAATTTTAATTAATATAAAACATTAAGCTACTATAAATATCCATAATGTTACTTTGTAACTATCAACTCTCAATGTTCTCAAACCCTATAAATATTACTTCATTACTCTGTGGTAAATGTCGCTGATGACACAGTTGCACATACTTAATAAGTAATGTTATTCAAAACTTTGTATTGTGTCGTTGTTTATTTACCTAAATAAATGGAAAAAAAAAAAAAAAAAAAAAAAAAAAATAACTATCATTATTTGTTTGCTTGTTTTATTAAAAAAAAACTTAGAATGGTTAAAAATAAACATAATATTATTAAAAGTAAAGGAATTATGAAGAATTATGTTCCTATCAACCAAAAATCGTTCTACATAGTTTACTGAAACACCAAATAAAAGTATATCAGATGTATAACTTAATAATGCATTTTAATAATTAGTAACGAAACTTTAAATGAGGAGCGCTGAGTGATCAACTTTATAAAATGTTACCAATAATGAGACATAACTATATTTGCTGCCAGGTAGGGGTAAGGGAGTAATAGAAGGGATTTCGGGATTTACTCGAGCGTGTCAGATTAAGATAGGAGGAGTACCTTACACCCAGTAACTACACATAGGGGGGGGAACGCCCATCCAGATTAATTTAAAAAAAAAACTCTTGCGAGAAATACTCGAGCATGTAAGATTAATGTAGTTTGAGTCAATTACATACACATTAGTATATAAAAAAATCAGAAGATTCAGTTCCAAAAAAAAACCTTGAATTTTTTATTTATTTTGAAGCAAACAATGCAAGAGTTAGTATTTTTTTCTCTTACATAATTTTTCGTTTGTTCTTTATTTGTCATTTCATAAAAAATCAAAAATCAAAATATTCCTGACCGTCAGATTTAAAACACCCTGCAAAATCATAGTCAGATTTTTGGCTAGTATGAGATGAACATCAAGCTGAACCGTCTGTATAAAATCCAACACCGGGTATTTCGAAATGACGATTTTTCGAATATGAAGTTTCCATTTTCGATAATTTGCTACATCTCACCAAAATATCTGATGCGGCCGAATATTTTTTTTCGATATCCTCCCTTACATTTTTGAAAAACCGCCCACCGCTCAAAGTGGGAACATTATATAACTTTTATTAATTCTATTGCCTAATCTTTTGAATGCAATAGGTCCCCATGAGGCTCGAGTAAATCCACATTTAGCATCATGGGCTTATGTTCTGTACTATGCTACTCGTTCTAATAAAGTTACTTATGATTTTTTTCATAAATATGTTAAAGGATGTTCTACTTTTTATATGTCAAAATAATTGTAGCCGAGAGTTAAGTCAACAAGATTTAGCTTTTTAAACATTATATAGGTATTGATGATAAAGATGCAAATATGGTGAATTTAATTTTATACTAATTTGATTTTTTCATTATTTAAAGCAATGAATTTTCTAACGGTATTTGGCCAGAACTTCCCAAAAATTAACTGCATATATTAAAATTATACAGCTCTATTTAGTCTGTAATTCATTAGGAGAAAAAGACAAAAATACTATTTTAACGTTTGATCGATTACTCTTTAACAACAACATAAATAATCTTTAAATAAATAATGAGAAGCGAATGCGCCTAAACTACAGCAGTGCTAGCTGACCAAAAACTCACTTTAACAATAAAAGGACAGAAACATCATAAACTTTGTAACCCTTACTTACCAAGATGAGGTCCAAAATGGTAACAATTCGACAAGTCTTTATCATATTTACCTCCTCCTTATGTGCATGAAGAAAGAGAAATATATACCTTTCAGTTAGTGATGTTTCCAAACTAAACAAAACTTAAGCTAGTCGCAGAGACACGGAAGCAAAATGGCGGATCGCGACTTCATATACTGACAGGTTTTAGATGCATACAAACCAAAATAATTTTACTTAAGTAATTATAAAGAAGACGTGTGTTGCCTTTTTTGGAATTTAAATGATTATATATGTGTACTTACATACTGATTGATGAATTATTAACAAAATTATATGTCCAGGTAAAATTGCCCAAGTCGTGGACCGGATCCGGCGGCTGGATTTCGAGGTGGCTCTGCACAAATCCGAGGCCTTGTACTGGGCCTCGGAGGAAGCTACCTGAGGGATTCAGCCTCATAGTTGAAGGCACTCGCATCGGCATCAAGCCCTCGATGAGGTATCTAAGGCTCGTGCTCGATGGGCGACGAAACTTCGGACATCATTTCCGAGGTCTGGTCCCCAAGTTGATTGGAGCAGCGCGTGGATTTGGTGCATTGTTTATGGGGCCGCAGTATAGGCGGGGGCCTTGAAGGCCAGCAACGTCGCACTACTGCGACATCCGCAGCGAGTGCTGGCCATCAGGGTCATAAGGGGGTACCGCACGATCTCTTTTGAGGCGGTGAGTCTCCTGGCCGAAACTCCAACGTGGGGCCTGAAGGCGCGAGCCCTTGCATCTCTGTATCACTGGCGCAAGGAAGCGCGCGGGTCCTTGTGCCAGTTGGGTCGGATTTCGCCAGGTCCTCGTGGAGGAGTGGAAGGAACGACTTGGGCAACAGAACGCCGGCTGACGCAGGTGATCACCGGAAAAGGATGCTTCGGAGATCACCTTTGTCTGAACCGCAAGACGCCAACTTGGTTCTAAAGAAATTTGAGCACCTATGAGTTTTGCTTAAATATTTAAAATTAGTTTGGTCTGTCCCTTCGATGATAATGATGATAATTCAAAATATTTTTACTAACGTATTGAAATCACCGCTGTTTTGAATCTGACTCACCAATATATCTTTCTAAACAATCTACAAAGAATAAACACTCATACAGTGATTTCTAGATTTTTTATCTTAGATATGCGACAGATGCGAACCGCCTTATTGCATTCCGGCTATTTGCATATATAAATCCAAAATACACTAAAAATACAATACTTAGGCTTCTCCTGCAAATGCCTTAGTAAAAAACTACTGTTACACGCGTGTGAAAGAGTTAAATATACTTACGGAGACTGCTTTAATTTCAGTTACGTAACGTTTGACGTGCTTGAAGTATTGTTCTGGTGTAATTGCAATTAAGTCTTTATAGATGATTCGACTGAAAATAAAAGAAAATCAAGAATAAATAAGGTTACTTTGGGGTAACTTAAACTTTGGCCGTCAAAATTTTCATATGACATGTCTGCATAGGTGTGTGTTTGTCACTCTTTTGTACTCTATTTTGGATGGAATAGAATGTATATGTAGAATAGCATATACCCACCATGGCGGGGCTGAAGCTAGATACAAATAATGTCAGTGTATGTGTATTACATTCAGTGTTTTTTTTGAAAAGGCTTGACAATCTTCGAAGAAAGAAAGACAGGTAAAATGCACCCAGGTACTAAAAAAATACGGTTTAGGCGTATACGTTTCGTCTAGGTACGAGAAGATTGTCATTTGATAATCTGGAGTCGGTCAGTCAGTCATTGAATCATTGTTGGCAAAAAAATAGCTAAATTATCATAAAATATCGTTACTTCAAGATGTTACTGACACAATATGACATCAAGAATAACCTAAAGATTACAATCAAATAATATACTACATAATTTAAAAAATGAGAGCCATGCTTCGGCACAAGTAGACCGACTCGACCAGAGTGATATACCGCGGCCTTACCGAAAACGGTGTTAAGCAGTTCCTTCTTTGTTTTATCCGGATGAGTGAAGTAGCCGGAGGCCTTACAAATGCTATAATTGTGAGAGGAGGGGAGCACTCAAAGCTGGGCTGAAATACACTTGTGTCTCTTGAGCTGTAGGCGTTCATGAGCTGCGCTAGTTAGTCCCTTGACATCTGAGGGCCTAGTGCAAGTTTATTTCACATCACGCGCTCTCGACAGCGAGCGCGTTCGGCGTTGCGAGTGGTAAAGATTTCAGTGCGGGCCAATCCCAGCGCCGATCTCGGTCACCGTGACGATCGAGTAGATGTAAAATAAACTCGCACATAGCCCTTAGCTGACTCGTCGGTTCGTTTGCCCCCTATTTCATAAAAAAAATTGGTGGTTTGAATATAGGAATAAGGTTAGTTATTTTGTCCGTATAATAAGCCCCCCCAAAAGATAAGTGTTTTACGCGACGGAATGACTTCAAAGTGCCGTTATCAACAGTTTACAGTACGCATCGGAGGAAATCGCTAACAATCATGGGTAATTTATAATATTATCACATCAAATTGTCACATTGTCACAATTTAGTAGTGATCTTATCGAGTAAATTCAAACACAAAGAAAAATGAGCACAAGAGACTATTCATAAACAAAATTTACTAATATCTGGATCTAACCAAATCATTTACTTTTTATCTACTACCTACACAAAAAACACGTGTTTAGCTCGTAACGTGATAACTGTTGTCAACTAAACAATATTTACAGTTTGACATTGAGAAACATTTAAGGTCAATGCACGTAGCTAGTGCAATTGTTTTGTAACTATGACTAATATTAAAAAAAAACTACGCATGCCAAAAAGTCGAGTACAATGTTGCGTTACAAATCTTGGCACAAAAATGATTACATTTATAAATTATTTTGCCCCTCTTCTGTCAGTATCATATGTCGACTCATTTCTTGATTTTCTATGCTAGATTTCTTTCAAGCCCTTTATCTGTTTTAGCTTTTTTCTACTCTTAAATCCTTTCGTGTCGATATGTATTAGTCTCTCTGCAATATTCCTCTAATTGCAAGTTATGTCATGGCATCGTATTATGACAAATATCGCTACCAAACTTCACCAGTATTGAAAGGTAACTTCTAAACTTCCTCTCATTTGCAAATTGCAATTTTTTTCGTCTAATCCATACATGTTGGATACAAACATACTCGTACTTACATAAAACTTTTAGTACATTAACTTTTCGATTCACGCAAACAGCAAGTTTGCCGAATCCTTCTTGTTTACAAATATATTATGATTTTTTAAATTTTTTTTTTATTTGGCAACAAATTTGTTCAAAAAATATAAAGAATATGGTGTTATCGCACTCTTAGTATTTTTGACACAAAAAATAAACCAGTATGTCAACTCACCCATTTGTATGATGAATTGTGTCACACAAAGCAAACAGAATGTCAACTTCAAGTGGTGTGATTTGCGACATCATCTGCGCGGAATGCAGAAACTCTTCCTTCGTTACTTCTTGGGTTCGATGCCCGTTCGTCGCGTTAAGATATACTCGTTTGATTAGCTCCATATTGTTTAATAAGGAATTAAAAGCCATGTAGTAAGGAAAGCTGATTTTACGTTCACCTTGGAAACCAGAAGCCTAGACAAAAAATAAATATACACAATTTTTGTACACTATACTAACGAGTAACTCAACAGTCTTATACTTATGTCGCAGTCTGTTACAACATAATATACATATAAGTACACTGTAATTTCATTTGAGAAAAATTTAAACCCTCCTTTCACTATTAATCCAATTTATTTCTTTTTACATATATTAGATTAAACAACAGGCAAAATTCTTTTGTATGATATTTTTAATTTAATCAATTATATTATCAGCTTTTAGCTATAAATATTAAGTAACTTACATTCAGAACTTTTGTCATCAAGTCTTTCGTTAATAGATGTTTCTTGACCGACAGCATAATATCTCTGAAATCTCCCGCACTGATAAATCCAGTTTCATCTTTGTCACATCGCTTAAAAGCTTCTAGTCCATACTCCTCGTGGAAGTCGTGAAGGAACTGACTGAACTCTGGATATGTTACAAGACGCTTCTTGTCTTTGCCAAAGTACAGACGGACGAAGGTGCTCTCCATATTGAATGGAAGTTTTTTATGCAATGCAGTTTTACGCATAACTTCTGCGAATTCGTCTGGAAAATGAAAAGCAATTACAGTATATTTGCCATACTTCTATTATATTACGTGAATGGCGCGTACCATATCTCCGCTATACGTGATAGCTAAGTACACTAACGACAGCAATGGTCAAGATCTCAATGCTGCCATATTCAGTTGATCCCTCCGCGCAACCTGTGACTTTTCAAAATACAATGTAAACTCTTTATAACAAAACTCCCTGAGTTTTATCTACTAATATGGAGTGAATCGAAAAAAACAATAAAATTAACAATAATTTTCATTACATACCTAAGTCTAAATATGAACATTTCTTTTACTTAATAGAATAGGTGTTTCATTATTAATGTTTGGGTTTTAATTAATAATGCAACACCTATTCTAAACATAAAGATAATTTTAATAAAACTTACCAAAAGCAACAAGTCCATTGCCGTTTGTATCAAAGAGCTGGAAGGCGGTCTTGTACAGAGCGTCCGGGACGCACAGCAGCCCCTCGAAGGCCTGGAACTCGGAGAACGTGATGAACCCGTCTTTGTCCATGTCCACGATGCCCGCGATGAGCTCCACAGATTCCTTGTTGTAGTCATCTGAAAATTACAATTGTAAGGTTTAAGACATTTCATCGTGAAATTATTTTCTTTGGGATTTGAGAAATTGCCATTTCAGTGACAGAAATCCCGAAACAGCACATGCCATAACTTTTAGTTTTTACTGCAATGCATATGCATACTATGACAGTAGAAGTTCGTCACCATTTTAAGCTATCAAAGAATTCGACTAGAATCATAAGAAATTAACTAGATTTTTGCTTAATAACACACGTACGTACATACGTACATGCAAAGCTTGTACATAGTAGTCGGAAACACTTTCGTTTCTAGTTATTTAAATAAGGTAACGTGCTCTGAACGTTAAACAGAAAGTGTAAATATATTGACCCACTGTTTTTCTAATTTGAAACGGTCTTTAATCTGGTCACTTTTAGGCACAGGCAAGGAGGAACGGACTCCGGGTGCAAACAGATTACTTTCTTATTTTTTAAATTTTAAACAAGGTTTCCGTAACGTAAAGATGGGTAATGGCAATAACGTAAAACATCAATATTAAAGTCGAATGTTTTGTTTAAATCTTTGTTTATCCCAGATCATTACATCTCAGCAAGAATCATTATTACGGACGGTAGGCGTATGGTGAGTCCGCCGGGCGTCCCTCCTTTCGGATGAGGGCCAGTTTCCCCGTCTTCCACAATTTCGGAAAATGGCCAAGCTCGAGGCATGCGCTGAAGAACCCTCTCAGTCGGGGCTCGAGAGCCTCGTCATCTAAAGCCAGGACTTACGCTCGGCTTGGCATGCCATCGGGTCCCGGGGCGGTGTTTTTGGCTTTTAGCCGTAGCACCGCCACCCTTAGTTCTGCCCAAGTGACCTCATGCACGTCGCCGTCATCCACGTTAGGCAGCGTCGGAGGCGGAGTCATTTGTGGTGGTGTATGCTCCACCACTCGCGATGGGAGCAAAGAGCCGACGACCCCCTCAAGCAGCTCTGGCTGAAGACACCGGGTAAGCGGCGGGGTCCATGGGCGCATCTTGCCCCTAACCATACGATAGGGGCGTCCCCACGGAGCCCGCTCCTCACTTTTGGCCCGCTTTATTCCGCTAATAGCTCCGCCTTGCCGCGTCTTCGGGGCGGCGCCTTCTGCGGAACCTGAACCACGGCAACCACCAGTAGACCTGGCGCCTCGCAATATTGGGCTGAACCCAAGGCATCCCCGCATCGCAGACGCGGGTCATGGCCTCCCGGAACCACTGTGCCTCAGCATCGACAGCGGCCCAGTTATGCTCCCGATCTTAGCGCTTGAGCGCCCAACGTTGCTAAGGTGGAGCCATTCTGACCGGCGCGCCATTCGTAGGAGCAGAGACGTCAAACCCAATATATCGGTGATCCGAACCTGTCTCCTCGAAAAACGAAAAAACGACCCGCCAGCCCTGGACACGACGCGCTAGCGAGATATCCACGATCGAACTACCCCTTGCCGTCCCGAACGTGTTTGTTACGATTTTGTTATTTACGTTCAATGAATAAATAATTCATACTCGGTAATTCATTTTCGGCGGGCTTATTGAAAGGGAAAATGAATTGGGTTTTTTTTTACTTAACTTTAATGGTTTTACATAAAATGTCTGACTACCTAGTATAAAATCCACCCACTCACGCCTCTTAAAACATAAATTTGCCAAATTAGATAATAATATTGGGAAAATATGCCAATATTAATTCTTCTTGAAACAAATTATTATTCTTGACTCTGTGACTGTTTGTAACCGATTAAAGAATGTTTCTGTAAAATTCAATATAAGAAACGCCTTTTTTATTAATCATAATATATATATAAAAATAGATAGTTAAGAATGCTATTTTTTACAAATCGAGGAAAGGACTATTGAGATAATACTAAATTACGTTCTCAATGACAATGGTCTGTATGTTATCTATCACGCAGCGATTTTATCTTCGTAAATGGCGTAAGTGACGTCTAGTGCTTTTGAAAGTGGAGTTTCATAGGCGCGCTTGTACTAGTAGGAAGTGTGGTGTCCTATCAAAAGAGATTACTTAATCCATAGATAAACAACTCGTATTTTTTACTCTTTATCTGATTACACATATGATTCAGTGATGTTCGATTGCTTGTTTGTTCAAATGCGCTAATCTCTGTAAATATACGTACTGCTGCGCTGAGTGTCGTGGGTCTGATCCCCACATGGGACGACATTTTGTGTGTTCCACAAATTGTTGTTCTGAGTCTGGGTGTTCTTTGTGTCCGATTCATGTATGTTTGTAAAGTCCCCAACGACACAGGATACTTTCCTAATGCGGGAGATGTCTTTTACAAAAAAAGCACTAGTTTGAAAAAAATATTATGTACTATTTTTTTTATGTGTAACATAAGCAATACACAATAACTAAATATATGTGTAAATACATGATTCATAAAGGAAGATTAGAGGCCACGTACCATAACGATCCGGACCTTAGGAGTGGAGCAGTAAGAATAAACGCAGGTGACAAAACTAAACCATAAACTAACCATAAATTGCGATAATAATATTTATCATTTTGTAGAATTGTTATCAAACTTTGTGCTATTAAATTTATCATTCTTCCACTCGTTGATCACGTCGCCGACACGCATAATGATGTTGAATTATTTTCCAAAACCAAAAGTTCCACCTCATCATTACAAATATCGAAGTCAATAGTTAGTCTCTTTTAGAAAACTTACCTTCATTAAATAATCCTAGGAAATTTCGAACAAAATTTTCACTAGTGATGCATTTCTCTCCGTTCTTCTCAGCAGTTGCGTACTTCAAGAATATTTCATGTAACCGGTCTGTGTCTGCCCTTTTGAGATAACCAGCCCCCTGAGAACAAACAATAGGGTATTTTGACAACTGTCAACTGAAAATTAAATCTGTTTCGTTGCTTGTAACAATTATGTTTTGAGAGAAATAACAAAACAAATTTACTATAACTCTTCACGTTACACTTATTATTTTGCAATATACGCGATAATTTTAAGTTGGCGTTATTTATTTCCTTTTTAATAAGTATTATAATCTCAAATGTTCGCGAATGTAATTTCTTGATATGAGAGTAAAAGGAATATTCATTACACATTGATATCTAAAAGAAAACAGATAGTGTTATTATTAACTTATAGAAAGCCAAAACCAGACCAAGGAAACGGCATAACGTTGAATTTAACAAGTATTTAACTAGGGACAGGATTATGTACCCGAGGAAGAGAAAGAAACAATTGAACAACCGCAGAGACCGAGGGACGGGTACGATGAATTACAAATGTAAATTCGCCCAATACTGAAAAATTTATCAATACCGTCGACTTTTCTGTAGTCTATATTCATATAACTCTGCTATAAATTACATTTCACTATGCACTTCCTCCAAAGAATAGGATGTGAACCAACCGCAACATGTTTAAGGCTAAGGAGCGTCCTTTAACAATATCTAATATCCTTCACAATATTATATTCATTTGATAGCTATTTTCATTATAGTATATCTTCAGTATATTTAAATATTTGTGTATTGTATTTTTTGTGAACCTACTACATATTTAACTGTATAGTGTTTGTATGTGTAACATTTTTTATTGTAATTTTATTTTGATACACCCGCCATATCAATCACTGAATCTTCCAAAAAACAACTAGTAGATAATGCAATGTGGCATTATGACCGTCTTATGCAATGTCAATGCCAGAAGTTCGTATAATAAAAAAAGAAATTGAACCGCTGTTTTTAATACTCAGGGGTAAAAATTTCTAAAATCTTTTCTTGGCGGATGCAAACGTCACAAAAATTTGGTGTTCGAAAGGAGTTGTGCAAAATCAGGCCTAGAAGCGGCCACAAAGTTGATGAAATAAAATATATTTATATATATATGGATTATTTGCAATTGACATTTTTGTTGGCTCTGTATAAGTCTGCAAAAATATTTTGACTTAATAAGTTTTGGTTTAAATTTTGACCAACTCGATAGTTCGAAATGGTATTTTTTGCCAGTCCTAAGAATAGTCTGGTAATTAGTCGGTACACTGCAATTGTTTGAAATATAGTGGATAATAAAGGTTATTCAGAGATTTTGATCAAAAAGAAAACTGTTGATATTATTTATTACAGTACACTAGCTGTATTTTTTTTTATTCACGAATCAATCAGGTAATTATGTTGTTTTCTAAATGGTAACATTTTATTATGTTACTTTTTTTTTGTTATATTGCCGACTGCCGTTTATTTTACTGTTAAATGGATTGAAGTTAGCAATTTATAATTTCCTGTAGATAATAATTAGCATAATTCATTTGAAAACCCACTTAATTCACTTCTCAGGGAGGACATTCTCTTCAACAAATTTGCCTTATATCAATTAAAACTCAACTTTAAGGCAAGTAAATATTTAACAGAACAACTTTATTTCAGTAGTGGTTGCTGCAGGCGGAATTTATATGGGACGCTTGCACATCTTTCAACCTAATTCGTTAAGACGTTCGAACTATGCGTTGATAGACCATTCAGTCAGTCACAATTTCCTGTAATACTAACTGGATAAAAGGAAACCGTGACTAGGACCCTCACCACTGTACTGTTAAGTAATTGTAACTGTTTAAGTATGTATAAATATGAATTAGTTTGTATTGTTTTGAAACACACTTTTAAAAGTCAAATTAGAAAAAAATGTCTTTCAAAAGTGTCCCTCATATTAAAAATTCTCACACAGACAGACAGACACACAAATGATTGGATTGCATGTTAACGATAACGGTTCTTTATTTTCGAGCCTACATAAACCTACAACCGAATAAAAATTATGATAAAGTGTATGTTTTCTTTAAATTGAAAAAATCTGACTACCCTGTAGAAATAACTAACTTTAAAAAAAGTATAACCTATTTTCATGAGCCTAATGACAATGAATTGTAACTGTTTCCTTAATTCCTTAATTTGCCACCCTTACAAGTGGTCAAATTTGAATGGGGTTTATTTTATAAATCGGTTCATAAATGAGTTTCATGTAACAAACATAAACAAGCTGGTACAACAAAATTGAAAACCTCCCTTTCCATTTTCGAAGTCAGTTAAACATGTACCTATGATAAGCAAATCTGGTTGTTGGCCCCCTCTAGGTGTACCTACAGGAAAAGGCCTACAACGTCTTCCTCAGAACGTCGTTTTTAGTAATCATACATAACTATTAAATCTAGACTAGATATTTAAAACAACCAATATTTGTCGTACAATGCGTCATGGTTACAGTGCGACACGCTTCCCGGCGTAACTGATAATAAATAAAACGTATCAACAAATACCCATGTGTTCTTCTAAAACTCAAGCCCTATTGTTTTTATATTGGAAATGAATTACTATATTTGACTGCAACACCGGTAATATATTCATTTTCTCAAGTCGTTTATATAGATTGTGTGACCAAAGGTTGCATTACTATTTTTAAAATTATATTATGGTAATAGAATACGGTCGTGACATTTCAATAAGTTGTCTTCATAAACTAAAGAAATTGCGATACCGCTGTTGTTAGTAAATTGAGGAAGTTTGTCATTCTAATAATTTTAGTTATTTCATTATTTTAAATGCCAAAACTAACATAAAAAAAGTAAATTTTGTTTCTACTTTTCCAAAACACTAGTTTGGAGTCCCAGAAAACTACAACACACTATCTCATCTCTGAGGATTTTATGAAACAAAGAACATCAAGTCTGATAGGGGTAGTTAACGCAAACCGGTAATTTCACGCATTATTGAAGTTTACGTGTTGACTTTTATAACCTTGTACAGCAATCTGTGAGCACCTGATAAGAGTCTACTATTTTAAGACAAAACATTCAACATCAAATCTAAACTTTATTTATAAGTTGGAAGATCGAGATCCTATTGTACCTACGTTAAAAATATGCGTAATTTTTCAATGTCAATGTATAATAAATACTTTATAATATTCATTCTTTTAAAACTACTTCAGCTACAACTACTACTTTTTTCTCCCTTGTACTAAAGATAGATTTGTAGAAATAGTTCGATAATTTTTATTCGCACAGTAGTAAGAAACAGTGAGAAAAAAATTGACCTTAAGAACGAACACAAACTAAACACTTGTCCATTGTTTTTTCTATAATTATTTAATAACATAATAATAATAATTTATTGGCACATAAATTAATAGATTACTTATTCGATAGGTCAAAGAAATATTAGCCACCTTTGTAACTTCAGTTTAAGGATTCGATTTCTTAAAAATTTTGATAAACTTATTTGCTTCCTTTTAGTAGCAAAACTTTTAACCAGTAAAAAGTTCTGATTGTAACATGTAACTTTTTTCGGTGTCCTCAGTTTAAATTGATTTATAACGACTTCATGGATGTAATCATTCTTCGTAAAGATAACATGAACACTAACCCGTATTATTTAAAAAAACATTTTTTAAGATATTGAGCTAATATAGATTAAGATCAAGATATTGAGATAACATATTTAACAAATTAATTTTTGTAATAATTATATAAAAATTTGGTTGGTAGTTACACCCATTCAATTATACGCATATCACAAATATTTTCAATTCTTGAAATGTTTAGTTACTATTAAACTTACGAGTATACTTCCTTATCTCATTTATGACAATATAATGTATGATGCAAGAGAATCAACAATAAAACTGATGTAGTAGAAAATATCGATATTGAGTATTACAGAATCATTATGATATCCTTATCTTCAATTTACGTAAATAGTAGATGTTTTGTTCAGCGATAGATTTATGTAATAAAACATTTAATATTGTATAGCTATGGGTAAATGGGCTTGGCAACAATACTTAAGCAAATGATTGGCCTTGAACCAGAAAACCCTAATGCAACAAACGAATGCCTTCCTAAAGGCGGATTTTATGTCTAGCCATCAATATTATAGCCTTGCCAAAGAGAAACAAACACAGACTGACGATGTAAATTCAAAGAGATTACGGAGTGGTTTGGCGATTGCCAAGTTTTAGTACCCTGGTAATAATTGACCTGTAGTACGTATCAGACTATGTGCCCAAAATTTAATATGGCAAAAGTTTTAATCACTGCTGAATGGCTTTATAGAATATCAGAATTCTTGCATGCTGCACTAGCTAGCGCCGCCGCGCCAATGTTAACTGTTCGACTGTTCTTTTGGCAATTCACACATGTTAGCGTGTCATGTGGTATAGGTTCAAGTTAAAAAAATGGCTGGTGAAGTAGGTATAGCTGCCGTAAGTAAATCTCCGGTTAAAGAAGAATGTGGTCCTATCGACGGCGAGTAACGAAACCTGTGCCAAATGAAAGTCCAACTATTAATGGATAACTTTTACTAAGGACATGACGTTGTAAATCATTTGGAAAAAATGTGTATAATATGATATCCTATTATGGCAGCTTTATATTTATTTATATGTGTATGTAATAATAATTGGTACATATCGGATCTAGTTGGTACAAGTTTATATTATATTACATATTTTATTTAAAACTTAATTAATGCACATGTTGTACAAAGGCGGACTTAATGCCATGATACATTATCTCTCAGTCAACCTTCAGGTTATGTAGAAATATGATGCAGTAGGTGCAAAATGAAAAACAAAAAAACCGGTCAGGTACGAATCGAACTTGTGCGCCGAGGGTTCTGTACCTACCCAGATTTTACGCTATTTTCGCGAAAATTTGTAAGTACCAAAATTTATCTTAATTTTCAACTATTTATTTTTTTGAATTATTCCTTTCTTTGTGCTGTAAGACGTTTCTTTTTTTCTAAATTTCGTGATTCTAGGTCAACGGGAACTACCATATAGGTTTTCGAC